GAGAGAGAGAGAGAGAGAGAGAGAGAGAGAGAGAGAGAGATCATAAACCTTATAGCAGATCATTATCTCTGGCTCAATCGTATCTTTGGTCCTATAGGAAGACCAGGCATGGCACAATATTAAGGTTACTTGCTCTATCTACCAATTTGAAATCAAACATTCTTTGAGAGCAAGCTATTCTGTCTGATCTACCAAAGTCAGTAAAATGTCTCACAGTGGCTCGGCAAGCTTGCATTGCACAGATAAAGCACAACAAGCCCTGGGTATATGGCATGAGGTGCTAGAGAAATCCAACTAAAATATTATCTGTCTCCACCAGAGCCAGATGCAGAATAGGTCACAGTGCCTCTCCTGCCTGCCTGCTCCCCATACGAAGAAAATTTATGGAAACCTTGTGCAACTGCAGAGGGAAGCCACTGCTTAACATGCAGGTTGGCCTCCCTCTTCTTATTGATTTTAAACCCTTGAAGTTTCCAATTTTCCTAATGCTCCTGAGTAATTGGCAACTCTGCTTTGGATTCTGGCAGGCTTCCTCTTCCATTTCCATGACTACCAGGATGCCACACTGACAGAGCACCTCTACTCCCTCATGAGCATAGCTATATTTGGAGCGGCCCTTTGTGCCATGCTGGAAGTGTTCCTCCGAGATCACACCATCCTGGAGCTCTTCAGAGCCAGCCTGTTCATCCTCCAAGGATCCTGGTTCTGGCAGGTCAGTGGTCCTTCTGCCTGAAGAATTGTGAGGGGGGAAGGAGGAGGATGCTTTCAGCTGAGAATGATGCATCCGGGTCCACCACGGCCTTAAATCAGCGGTCTCGAGGCTCCTTGCCAGGGTGAGGGAGCTTGCCTTAGGAGAAGTGTTGCCATGAGAAATGCATTAAGATAAAGGCAGCTGTTAAAGTATCCAGCCACAGCAGAGACAGCCCACTGAGTCCCTGCTTAATTGCCTCCCCTGGAAAGAGTCCAAGCCATTCGGACTGCCGAGGGAAGGAAATGCTGCAGTTTTGCTGCTCTGGGTACACTCGGATCGCTCTGAGGAGGGCGAGGAGGTTGCCACTTGCAAGAACATGTCAAGGATCTTGACTTGCGTCTTCCCTGCTGAAAAGGGGACACAAAAGCAGTAACAGTAACTCATGTAGCGGTGAGCTTCCCTGAAAGTGGGTCCTTCCAACCCAACCACAGTCTCAAGGGCAGAACGGCATGTGGTGCTGAACGGGCCATGCAAGTAGCAGCCGCGGGGAACCAGGACTGCAGCGAGTGAGAGGGAGGTGCGCCTGAGCCCTGCGCAAGGGAATGCTGCTCTCCCAACTCTCAGAGCTACACCCATGGGAGCTCCCCTTAGCATGCAAACAGTCGCTCCAAAGGGTTGATTTTTTGGAGAACCACGAACCAAGGGGGGAGCGGGGAGCCCACCTGGCATCCTGATGCTGGGTCCCGTCTCCTTCCACCTCCTGGCAGCTGCTGTTTGAAGTTACAATAATGTTCTGCACAGCTATTTCCCATCACTTGCACGGCCCACTTAAAGCCATGGAACTTGGTTCGGCCATTTAGTTATTTATTTCATTTTTAGCCTGTCTTTTCCTCCAAGAAGCCCAAGGTGATGCGAATGTCCTTCTTCATCTCTCCTTTTTTATCTTCACAAAACCCTGCCACAGCAAGGTTAAGCTGCAAGCTGCTTAACTGACCAAGAAATGGCCACAGGTACCCAGTGAGATTTATAGCCAAGTGGGAGCTACAGCCCGCATCTCCCAAATACCAGCTGAGCACTCCACCCGAACTAGTGAGTCCTTGCGAGTGTATTCCAGGGATGACTGGAGCCAAAGGCAAGAGATGGGCGCCAAGGGCTCACAAAAGGCCAGCACAGTTTAGTTTAAAGCACTTCCTGGCAGTCACTAAGCCTTAGCGATGGCCTTTCCACCTTTTAGAACGGGAGAGAAAGGGCACAAAGCTGGGAAACCACCAAGGATCAATATTTGAGGGAAAGAGATGGCACCAGGGCAAGGAGAATGGCCCATTCACAGCTTACCTACCCCTTCCTTAAGTCCACCCAGTTTATTCTCATTCATCTGCACGACATATGCAGGATCCAGGACTGACCTGCTCTTGCTCCTAATCAAATGCCTGGCTTCTCACACTGGAATTATTCCACACACTCTTATGCTTCTGGGTGATGAACTTTCCTCCTTGCTTCCTTCAGGTTGGGTTTGTCCTGTACCCACCATGGGGAGGTCCAGGCTGGAATCAGGCGGATCCTGGGAACAAGAACTTCCTCACCATGTGCTTCTTTTGGCACTACGCAGTCGGTCTTCTCTCTATGGCAGTCAGTGGTTTTTTTAGTCACCGGTGAGTGATGAGCAGAAAGGAGCAGGGTGCGCTAGGCACTTGGAAGAGGTGGGCTCAGGCCCCGGGGACAAAATCTGCATAAAAAGTGCTCACGTGTCTTCATCTTTATATGAGCAAATGTTGAAATAACTCCTGGGATTGAAAAGGTTTAATTGTGTGAATTTTAATGCTGTGAGCAGCCTAGAGTCTCGGTCCCTGGGGACTGGGGGCAGGGGAGTATAAATATAGTTATAAGTGTCACTGCAGGAGAAGCCAGTCAATTTTTCATCCAAATAATCACAAATAAAATGAATTCATTGATTCGCTTGCACCCTACCTCTGGTTATCTCAAACTAATGGAAAACATTTTTGCCTGAGCTTAATGGCTGTGCATGGAGGGATTCGAAGGGGGGGGGGATTAACCCTTTCTTCATCAGCTACAAACTCCCTTGAAAAACTTCCCTCTGCATGGCAACTAAGCTAAGAAAGAATAATGAAACTCAAGGCCCTTGAGAATAGATTCAGCACCCTTGGGAAACACATTTGTACTAGACTCTCAGGCAAAATCCAATTTTGGATGCTCCAAAAGTTGCAGCGATTGGAGTGCTTTCTAAAGGAGCAGCTAGCCATGGCTGGCCAGGGATAGCTGGTAGGAATTTACACACCCAAACTGATTTATTTAGTTAATTAATTAATTCGATATATACAGATATGTAAGGCACATCTGTGAACTGAATGAACCATCTCCTGGAAATGAACATGATTGGCTGAAACTGTTCTTAAATGTGCAGCCATCTGAAGATGGGGGTGAAGTGGGGGCTGCCTGCTCTGATTTATCTTTTTTGAACAAGGTATATGGTTTGAAGTCCTCCCTGTAAAACATGATTGTGTTTTAAAAATTCTGCCTGCTTTCTCACCCATCAATACTTCAAAACAGCCTACATCAATACCAAACCATTCAGTTTATTTGTTTTGGCCATCAGCCACCACACAGACGTAAGAAAATAAGAAAATAGCTGCTCCATTGGGCAATAAACAGAGAAATGCACACAAAGGAACCACACAGAGTAACAACAGCTCGATGTCAAACAATACCCAATCAACGGCAAGCAGCGCTATTGTTTTTCGCACTGGCCAAATCCTTTTTATTTTGCCGTTTATTTTTGTGATTTATTTTGCCAATCACAGCAGAAGTAGCCATTCCATAGAAACCTCCTTGATAGAAAACAATATCCCATAAATCATTTACCACTATAATAAAGCTCTCCATTCTCAGTTCCAGATCTGCCTTCTGTTGTGGAACGGGGGCAGGGGTGGAACACAAGCTGTTGTCAAACGCACGCCACTTGCTGAACTGGATTTCTTTCTATCTGTTGAATATATTATCTTTTTGCCGGCTGGGATTCTGCAGGTGCAGCAATGAATGTGGAACAAACTACGAAAATATTGATGTGGAACTGGACTTATCGTGCTGCTTGTGGAAGAACAGAACACCTGATCCGGTTCTCCTCCCAGAGACTGGCTTGGAAGAGAAGTGAAAAACGGAACAACTTTTCCTTGAGGACATTTTTACTAATCTCCACATTTTGGCAGACATTTTCCATCACTCTTGATATTAAAAATGCACACTGGTTACTTGGTCCATGGTGAAAGGGAAACAGAACTATCATTTTATGTGTAGCGAGAACATACCTTACGGGCATAAACGCTTGTCCCCTGTGGCAGATGCTCCTAAGCTTTCAAACCCTAAGGTTGATGGGCATCCAACACAAGATGTGGAGTGAGGCAGTGGTGAGCCCCAATATTTCCTCCAGACAGCTATTTGTGGCTGCCTAAATTGAGCACCAGTCTGGGGGAACAAGGTGCCCGGGATGCTGACTGGAACTGGCAGACTCCTTAACCCCAGCTTCCTTCACTCCCCGTGCATTGGGCAGTTGTTCTCGGGGAGTGTTTCTGGATCAGGCTGGCTCAGAGTCTTTGGGTGGCAGGGGGACAGCTTGGGGAGCAGAGGCAGCAGTGGCAGAATGGCTCATCTCCTGGCCACCACCCCCAGGTGTTCAGGCAGCCCCTGGGAACGGCCGGAGTCTGCAAGTGCCAGAAGGGGGCAGGGGCCCAAGGAGCCAGGCGAGCCTGGTCTGATCCTTGGCACATCCAGCTACAGCGGCTGTGGACAGCTAGGCTTGCCTGACTCCAGAATTACTCAAAAAGGGGACTCTGGGAAGTAGCTCCTATCTGGGTTCCATGAGCCACTCTGTGCATGCTCAGAGACTCTTTCTTCACTGGCTATAGTCTGCTGGATGTATATCCGAAACAAAGAGCTTTTGCCAAAGAGCACTCTGCTGCTTTGAAAGAGGGTAGAGGGAAACCTCTCTCCCAACATCACGCCTAGAGTCTCACAACTTGCAAGAGACTGGAGTTCCCGTCTGGAGGGGAAACCCATGATCACATGGCAATTTAGCCATGTGTGGAACAGGGGCTGTGTTGGACCAGGACACAGGAGATCTAGGTTCTAGCCCCACTCGGCCATGAAGCTCACTGGGTGATTTTGGGCTAGTTACTGACCTTTCGGCCTACAGGGTTGTTGTTGTGAGAATGAAATGAAGAGAAACTTTTAGGCTGCCTAGAATATTCTGGCAGCGGAAGAAGGCTGGGGTATAAAGGTAATTTGAGAGTAAGAAAGAACAGGAATGCATCTCACTGGGAAACCTCGGGCCAGTTACTAGCCTAACCAATTCAACCTAGCCTTCCTTGCAAGGTTAGTGTGAAGATGACATGGGCAGGGAGAGAACCATATTCACTCTGCCTGAAGCTACTCAGAATAAAAAGGACCCATTGCTTTAGTTCTGCAGCACATGCTGCTGCCCCACTACACTAAGGAAAGGGCTGAGGGCAACGCCTCTTCTTCCTACCAGCAAGCAGGAGCCAAGCTGCTACAGCCGGGAGCCACCAATTTGGTGGAGGTGGGACACATTCTTAGAGGGGAAGGCTTTCGGCAGCTACCAGTCCCGATAGCTCTCTGTGCTACCTCCACTTGCAAAGCCGCTGCCCATACCCACAGCTGCCGCTGGGCAACTTGGACGGGAGGGTGCTGTTGGACTCATGTGCTGCTTGCGGGTTTCCTGTGGGAAACTGGATGGCTTGCGTGTGACCAGAATGGTGGGCTGGACTGGTCTGACCCTGCAAGGTTCTCCTTGTGTTCTCTCTGAGGGAAGGATACACCAATTTCAAAGCTGTTCATTAAATTGCTAGCAAAATCTATTATCTGCCTGCCCACCACAAGTTATTCAAGTCATTGGCCATGGAGCTAACTGGATGACTTTGGACCACTCACAGACTCTTAGCCTAACCTACCTCACAGGGTTGTTGTGAGAATAAGATTGAATTTTGTAAGCCACCTTGGCAGAAGATAAATATAATAAATCAGAAAATCTCCATTCACTATTTGTTCACAAGGGCATTTCTGAGAAAGCGATCGTGTTCCTAAAGCAGAAGTACTATTTTAATCCTTGAGGACCAACTTACATTGCAGGACCATGCAAATCTGTTGCCATCTCCTCAGAAGGATTCCTCATTTAATTAAATTGAATTTACTTCTAAAGCATGTATAAGATTGCAGTCTTAAAGTCAATAGAGACACACAAGTCGACATAGTCAACGGTGTGAGATGCTAGGACTTGCAATCCAATAAGTGGAGAGACACAGGTCCCTCAGTCATTTAACTACAGGTAGAGAAGCATGAAGGATAGATATGGATTGATATCTAAGCTCAGTCTTGTGCCCAGCAATGTTCCACACATGGGGAATGGGGAATAGAACAAGCAGTAACAAGAACCTGCTTGTAGGCCAATCTCTCCTTTTCAAATTTTAAGAAAAAATAAATGGGGGGGGGGGGACAAAAAAGCAAGGCAAGAATAAAACTGAGAAATTACAAAATAAAGCCTCATCAAACTCAGGGGCAAAGCTTTTATCATACAAGCACTACACCATAAATAACTCTATTTTCTTGTCCAATGTTACATCGTGTCTTCATTCAAACTGGATCTAATTTTGTATAAACCAAATAACTTTAGAATAGAACTTCAATATGAGAATGATACAGGGCTACTAACCCAAGACTACACAATGAGCATAATGGCTTCTTGATTTGACTGAAATATGCCTGTAATGGTTCTAACCAACAACCATAATAAATAACAATCCAGAGTATTTCTCACCATTGGGCATATGTAATTAACACTCTTTTGTAGAACAGATGATTAGACTTGTCCAACATTCATAACACTGTTTGCATTTAACCTACCCTGTTCATATTAAACAATCAGTTCTGATTGATTTCTTCCATTTTTGTTATAAATTCACCTCAAAATAACTCAATAGAAAATGCATTTCATGTTATATTCAGCAGTCTGGCTGAATTTTTATGTCCCCTTAGCAAAATATTGCAACTGTATCATGCAATTCGATACTGCCAGATTTGCATCTGTGTGGGAGGTGGCTACTCTCACAATGCATCATGTATTTATCCAAATTATATTGCTACACTGTCCAATGAAGCTTTCAGGCAGTTCACAACAGTTATATACATTGTGGCAAATGGCAGAACTGGTTAGAAGTTGGCAACTTAAGACGCGATCACCACAATTTCCTGACTTAGTTCATACCAAGCAAGGGAAAAAACATGCAAATACTAGGAATGCCCTTTCATTGTTTCGAAATAAGCATACGTACTATGTAACTACTGTAATGTATTTTACAGGAGGTTTCATTTGAAGGCTCTAAAGTATATCCAGTTAGTGAAAAATGCAGCCAGAACTGTATAATTGTGCAGGCCAGAATTGTATAAAAGCAAACTTTTCTCCAGTTGCATTGGTGATTAGAGTGTTTCCAAGCCCAGTTCAAAATACTGATGTAAACATACCAAATGGGTTCAAATCAAGCTATTACAAGACTTGATCTTGCCTGTTCATCCCGACCAGTTTCAGAATTCTTGCTTGAATGGTTGCCGGGAATATAATTAAGCTGGCAAGCACAGGAGAAAGGTCCCCTTGGTGGTGGTCCTGGAACATGTGCAGCTGGTTTGTGTAGCTCGGAGCTGTTCATTTATCATATGTATATGCTGCCCTATAGCCCAAAGGCTCTTAGGGCAGCTCACAATAAGAATCATAAGCAACCAGGATAAAACTGGAGAGCCAGTGTGGCGTAGTGGTTAAGAGCATGGGACTGGGACTCAGGCGATCTGGGTTCGAGTCCCCGCTTGGCCATGGAGCCAACTGGGTGACTTTGGGCCAGTCACAGACTCTCAGCCCAGCCTACCTCACAGGGTTGTTGTTGGGGGGATAAGATGGAGGAGGAAAATGAGGTAAGCTGCCTTGAGCCCTTTGTAGGAAAAGGACAGGATATAAATCGTGGGGAAAAAAACAAAACCATAAGAATTAAAATAATAAAATGATCTGTATAAAAAATCTAGTATAATAAACAAAACAGAAAAACATAATAAGCAAGCAGCAGTAGCAGAATAAGGCCAGTGTTAAACAAAAACTTAGTTTGGCGATGTTAACTAAGTAGTGAAGGCACCAAGTGCACTTCTTTAGGGAAAGCTTTCCGCAGGTGGAGTGCAATGCAGCGAAGGCCCTTCCTGACATCTCCCCCTTCCCTTCATTAGGGGAGGTTCACAGAGAAGGGCCTCTGTTGAAGATGTTAGTGGTCTGGTAGGGATATATGGAGAAAGGATTTCCTTCAGATATTCCAGCCCCAAACTATTTAGGGCTTTGTGTGTTGATGTCAGAACTCTGAATTGGGCTTGAGCAGTAACAGGCGGGCAGCAGATGGAGGACCGGCATGATGTGTTCGTCAGTCCTCATTAGTAGCCATGCCGCTCTGTCCTGGATTAACTGCAGTGTCCAAACCGGCTTCACAGGCAGCCTCACATACATACATACAATACAGCAAATTAGGATTCTTATGGCATCATTTGGATCCAAGATCGAAAGTGCTGTTTCATAGTAATGTGTATCAGTTTGATGTGGCTAATGGGGCTGCATCTTTCACTTACTGAGTAAACTCGTGTTTATCCCGCACCAAAGGACACAAGTTAACTCAATAATTTAAGTCCACTCTATAAATTCTAATGCCATATTTAGCTTAAAAAACAACAACAGCCCAGCTCCACTCCTCTAAGCCTCCATATTAAGCAAACTTTGCAAAGCAGAAGTTCAGCAACCATGTTGGAAACCAATCCATGCTTTTCAAAGAGCATTGAAATTCATGCAAACTCAACATGGTGAAATGACTCAAGAGACATCAGTCAACAGAAGGATTTTCAGCAGCAATATATAGTCTTTCTCCAGACAGCTTAAATAATTGACCAAGAAAAAGCCAGCCATATTTATGTTCTCAAATCATGTTATGTATATTTCACCTACCTTCTCTTTCAAATAGTCAGCACCTTGCATATACAGTGAAAGTGGATGGACTCAGTTCAGAGATCAAATTGCTGGAGAATTAAGCAATTTGACTGAAAGGTGGGAAGGGAAGAGTCAAGGCTGAAATAAAACTTCTTAAATAGCTTTGAATAAAGACTAAAAATCGATTTTCTTCCCCGTATGCAAACAACAGCCATATAATAACTAGCCATGTCATTTCATAGGGCCAATATTCTGAGAGAAATTTCATGTGCATAATTACAGCACTCTGAATACTAATGCCAAAAGACATGGTAGCTACCCAATCGCTTGTCATCCCTGGGTAAGCAAGAGCAGAGTCTCCAACTTTGAGAGCAGCATATAAAAAACCATTTCAAGCCATTCCACTATTACAGAAATTTGTATCTTTCAAACATAAAGCATGCTTCCCTTTGGATGACTGATAAGCTCTCAGAGTGGAAGACAGAGCTTCTCTGAGGGCAATTTTAACCTTGGTTATGGGTAAGCTCATGGTTTTCTGTTTCGACTTTACATTTGAGCACACTGCTTTCAACAATGTTTTAACCTATCCTGATCCTCTTGAATACAGCTTAATGACCCAAACCACTTTGGCATTTAGTTCAATCTAGCTTGTTGGGCATTGATAGTATTAATCAAAACTCTTAGAGTGGAGGTTAAAGATGCTTATCTGAATGATCCTACCTGCTGAACATCATTTCACTGCAAGTGGAAGAAAACAACCTGTGAGCAAGCATGTCAGAATGACTTACATATGTAAATTTTCAGAGTGCTACCTACACCGATGTGCCACTGGGGCCACATGCCACCGTTTGTCCTTTACAAAGTACCACATTTTCTATTTCAAACAGACCTAGCATACTGTAATGCATTCTGGAAACCGATTCACTTCCAGAAGAGCAGATGCGACCTGGCACAGCCTCCAGACAAAAAACACAAATGCCTGTTTCCTATTGCCCTGGCAGAAAAGGTGCTCAAAGGGTGCAGGAGGCCTGGAAGGCAGAAAGCAGGGGGAATTCCAGTGGTCCTTCAGGTGTTTGGTAAGTGCGATTAAGAGCTATGTTTTATCATGCTATTTCTCAGAGCTCCAGCTAGCTATGAATAGACACAGGAATCATTCTGTAAGTTAAAGTGTTTATTGATGTGTTTCCAACTTTTTACATTCCCCACAGATCACACTAAGGAGTTTGTGGGTTAAGTAAATCTGTGCATAGTGGGAAGAGACATGGAAAGGGGTGGAGGATAAAGAAAAGTCACAGAAAATAGGAAAAAAAATACACCACAGGTTACCAGAACCTCCAGAATTTTTTAAAAAGCTGTGAGCATTAACATCAACTATACAAGCATTACAAAGACATGATGGTGAATGGAACAAGTTCCCTTGACACGTCAGTGCCCACTGATTCCCTTTGTTCTCCATTTATCCGTCATTCTCGCTTCTACCCACCCTAACCCCATCCCAGATAGAGAGCCCTTGCAATGATTCTTTGGCTCCCTAAATGCACACACCCTCCAGCACCAACCCCAGCTTTCTTGGGAAGACATATCGGACTCCCAATCCCGTAATGACCATGATTTACCATGAAGGGGTGGGGGGCTTGCTAGCACATTAATAAAGAGGGGCAGGCTTACACTAGGCAAGGTGCTAAAGGAGGCTGGTTCAGGCAGAAAGGACAAGATTGCAATCAGACTTAAAGGCTTCCAACTCTACAGCCAGGCTGCATTCAGAAAGCAAGGCAGCTGTGCAGTCCCAATGTGCACCAGCCATGACCTTGCTTTCCACTAAAAGGCCCTAAAATGGCAGAAGCATTTACCCTCCATACTTCGAGAGGGTCTAGGATTTCTGAAAACCAAGCCACATAGCAGCACAATCGCACAGGTCACTGGCATCTCAGAATCTATACAAGGTTTCCGTTACGAATTTTGCTGGTTGTTGTTATTCCCCATTCTCTTTTTTGTGACTTCTGGGGAAAAGATTTCTCTAAAAAGAAAAGAAAAAAGGAATACTGCTTTTATATATAAAAGCCAGAATGACCAAAGAGCCACAAGTGTCTTGTTTATACAATGTGGTTGGTACAAATGACCTTGAATATACAAGTGGTGTATCAGAAAGAAAACAAACATTTCTCATTTATACAGAGAACTTGTTATCAGACAATACAACAGCACTGGGATTTCTCTTCATTAGATTAGGTTTCTTAAAAAAGAAAAAAAAACTACATCTCAAATATCTGCAATAGATCCATTTTCCCATTTAAGGTTTATATATCATATATTGTTATATTATCATTTCCTCACCCATTTAAAAGAATGGAAATTGCAACTCTACAGTAGTAATTAAGTCTTAAATGTTCCAGGAGTTCTGAATGTAAGATGAAGTCCTCTTCAAGCGACAGTTGGTCAGTAGTTGATCCAAAATACTGGACCATTTTGGCCCTCCCTACCCAAAGCCTTTGCTGGCCAGGGCACCGCAGTTTCAACGTACTTTAAATCTGCATCTGCTCCAGGTATTTGTATGTTGGGTTCTCATAGCCATGATTCTGCATCTTGTTCAGATGCCGCTCCTCTGGGGTTAGCATTGGGTCAACCTTCAAGAAAACGAAGTTAACAGTCAGTGGGCCAGGAAGTGGTACAGTAACCTCACAACCACATGAAGCAATGTGGACTTATTGATGTAGACTTAAACGAAGGCATGAGTACCAGTCTTCAGCTTTGTCACAAGAAAATCTGCTTCCACCATCTCTACAGGACGCTGTCTCAAAACCAAACAAACAAGCTCTGCAACACCAATTCCAGCTGCTGGGAGTTTCTGTGTTCTACGCATGTGGGAAGCAAAGTATCAGGAGTTTCTTTTTCAAAAATCTGGTTTTGCTTTCTACACTTGCAGAGAACTGCCTTAACTATATATGGACACAGACGGCTAAACGAGCAAGGCAGCGCAAGTGAGAGATTCAACACTCCTAACATGCCACCTCTGCCCGGTCACCTTCTTCAATCCCACGTCCCCCATTCATTGTTCAGGCAATGCACCCCAAGCCCCCGCTCACCTCGACAATTCCATGGCTGATAGTTCCATACTGCCTCTTCCTCAGCATCACCAAGCTGATCACTATGACGGTGGCAATGGCAACAGCTATCACCAAGAGGCCAATGAGAGCACTGCTGCTGAAGCTGAAATCATCACGCAGGGAATTGACATTTTCCTGAAAAGGTGAGAAGACAAAGTGGAGGGACGGGTGTTTGGAAACAAACATTGGTAAACAGGCCTAGGAGGGACCTGGCTTTGGCATGAGATGCATCTGATAATGAACCTGCCCTGGTCACTGTCTAGATTGCAGTGGGTACCTTTAAAATACCTTCTCAGACACACCTACTATGCCCATGGCCCACCATACCTTCAACGTGCTCTATGTGGCCCAGGATATTTCTTGCTGAAAACTCCAGATCTATTTTTGGTTTGCAACATTTATAGTACCTCCGGAATTAAAAGGGGTGTACATAGTGACAAGGGTTTGAATTTCCCTAAAATCAAGCCTGGGTTGGTGGCCATATACTTACCGGCTCATCCACCAGTCCTCCAACTCGCTCAGGATTGAAAATCATTTCCTTCACATCAAGGGTTTCATCAATAACCTGAAAACAGTCATGAAGAAATTTTATACCAGGACCTAATGACAGACAGGGGAATACTGGGAATGGATTTGCTTAAAAAGTCACCTTTGATCTGCAAAAAAGAGCAACTTCTCCTGAATAAATAGCTAATTTACATGGTTATCACACACCTCTCTCATGCTCTCTAAAGGAGATTTCATACATTGAGCCAAATCCCACCTGTGGAAGAGCCTTGGAAAACTGATAAAGGAAGGCACTGGGTGTGAAGGAGACAGGGACCTTGCCTACAAGCCATGCTACAATGGCTGCATATTTAGCACCACTGCAGCGGGGCCCCACGTGCACACAAACACGCATACTCACAGGGACAGAGGCAAGAACCTTGGCCAATCTGAGTTCCCACAACCCAGGAAAAGTCCTTGCATATATCTGTGTGTGTGAGAGGACCCTTCATATTGGCACTGAACATTCTGCCACCAAGGGCCCCGGCACACACATTGTCATCACATCCTGACACTGCTGCCATACATCATGCAACGCACTGAGCAGACCGAAGTGGACTCTGGCATGGAGCACTGCATATGTTCAAAAACTATTTCTTGCGGTCAGTAATTCTTCTAACATCATGGAGTCGCCAGCTGGCTCTGCCTTGTGTGCGTTTTAAGCAGAGCTACATACATGAGGACATTTCACAGGACAAATCTGGCTTGAGTTTGATGAACTGGCTAGATCAATTTGACTTTACATAAGTTAACATTCACTGCTTTCACAGAGCGAACAGACAGGGCACGAACACGGTTCATCTGCATCTTGGCATAAGCCCTACAGTTACAGAATGCCCATTTCTCTTGTGGCACTTGTCCAAAGCTGCAGCCCCTCAATACAGCTGACAGATCTGTCTGTCAAATCTGTGCCGAAGTATCAAAGGGTTCTACCTTGTTAACCAGCTTGACAGGACTTTCTACAGTGAGGCATTGTTTTCTTCACCATCTTATCCTTCTGTCACTGACACAAACCAGAAACCTGCAGCAGCAGCATGTCAGAAAGCTGCTACTCCCTTGCACCATATGGTATAATGAACAGAATGACTGTCAAGCAAGAGGCTCAGAAGCAAGCAACAAAACTTTAGTCCCAGACTGAAGCGTTTCAGTGAAAAATACAAAAAAGAAACGTACCACGTTCTCATCCAGCTTGTTCTTGCTGTTAATTACTTTCTCTTCTGCTCCAATCAACCCATCAAGGTTCGCCATGCCAGACCCTGCACAAGAAGAACAAGTATAAGATCAGACAAAGGAATGGGCCACTTATCAGACCCCTGTGGCATCCAGGTGGTGCTGTCACCCTCATGCGAACCACAATAGGAACACTTCCTAGCTTCCTTTCCTTATGCAAGTATTAGAAGGACATCAACATGTTATGCTTGAGAGACAAACAATGGGCAATGAGCGAAGAGGCCTAGCAAGTGAGGCACACGTGATGGAAATGATGGCTCTTCTAGAAGGTCCAGTTGCACAGCTATTTTATTATTGACTGATATGATATGGCACGAAGCAATGAGAGTCCAGAAGTGCTGTCTCTTTCCCCAAGAGGTATTTCTGCCACAGCAGACTCTCCATCCCTTCAGAGAGGCTATGTATCAGCAGCTATCTGAGGACCAAGCCTGAAACTCATTCCAAGAAGGTCACCTACCGAACTCAGAAAAATAGAATCACAGAATAGTAGAGTTGGAAGGGGCCATGAAGGCCACTGTGTCCAACCCCCGGCTGTTGCAGGACACCAATTTATACCATCTCACTCAGATGGCTCTCCAGTTTCTCTTTGAATGTCGCTCGTGTGGGAGAGCCCAACTTAACGAGGTCCTGCCACGTACCTGGCTGAAGTCCAGATTCAATGTCAAGGGAGCAGCACATTAAATTCTGAATCAGCTGAAACCTTGCACATAATAATGGAGAAGGGCATCAACAAGACCGCTCTGCTGTAGTTGGGATCTGAACTACAAATCCCAACTGATCAGAATAGCAGAAGATACCTGTTGCAACCTCCAAATCACCCAAAACATGATGAGCAGCTGTTAATAAAACTCTGCAAAAAGCTAGCCTGTATTAAGATTTTACAGAAGGATCCAAGGCAGCCACTGGATTCTTTTGAGACTCTACACATATCTATGTCCTTCCACAAAAAGGTCATTATATTATAAAAACACTTCATAAATGGATCGCACTTCTTGCCCTACATTTGCTGGTTTCAGGCACACATGAATGCAACCTGTTATCTAGATTTCCTAAGGGAGGGAAACTGTTTTTGGAGCAACTGCTGAAGCACCAAGGTTTGGGGGGAAGGGTGTTGGCTTGCTTTTTAATTGACTGCAAATGTCAAAGCAATCTAGACAATGGTTCCTGAATTTATTTTTGCTCTTGTTCCCAGTTCTTTAGGAAATGTTATTTTGAATTCCAAGCACACTCCAGATTGTCCATCTTGCTTTTCAAGACTGCTGAGTACAGGTAACATACTGTGAAAGTTAATGATTAACAATTTCTAACAAGCTTAGGCCTAGAAGCCACTCCTAGTCAGCTCACTTCTAGGCATCTTCTGACTCCTCCAGTTCTCAGAGGCCAGTAGATGCTATAGGCTGGGAATTCAGCTGCTGTGACAGGTACCCTCAGATAGTTCTGCACTGTTTAACAGTCCTAAGTGGATTAGCACTCAGAAGGAAAGGTCTTTACATCTCACATACCTCTGAAAAGAAACTGCAGTAGTGTTATACACTATAAGAAAGAGCAGGGGGAAGGCAGAATCAAATATATCACATTTTACATCGACAGCTTAGCCAGGAATGGACTGCAAAATATCGTTTTCCCCTACATTTTAGTCAGTTACTTTGGCCAGGAGAGATGATGTTCACACTTATTAATGAAAACTGAAACAAAGATTTCAGAGATAGGAAGATGACTATAATTCATCCTATTGCTTCAGAATCCCTTGTTTCAAGGAATGAGCTAACAGAGGACTTTAAACTCTGCTTGTTAATGCATCAAGAACAGAACAGGTAGGTGACTTGTCTGCCACAATATAATCAAATGAAATCTTACATTTTGTCCCTCATCCCAACTAGGGAATCATTATGATTAATGTACAAATGCAAAGAAAAGCGAAATTCTCACACATAAAACTCAATTCCATCCACGACAGGACGACAGAACAAAAGATGCCTGATAAACTACACAAGACAGAGAGAATGAGTTTAACAAAACCTACACATCCCAAGTCCCAGTCCTCATCTGCAGCTAGCAGCCTGCCGATTTAATTTTGGCAGTTGCTAAGGTATGAGCAAATGGAGAACCAAATTTTAAAAAGCAAAACTTAGGACATTCTAATAAAGAGAAAAGGCTTGCCGGTCCTTAATGCAGCCATGGGGCTTTGGTTTCTAACACAGATTATGTTCAAAAGAGATCCAATATTGCAGTCAGGTTATTCGCTTTCTTACGGAACTGCTCATGGGAGTCAGTAAAATCAAGACCACACAACCCCACAAGAGAAACTGCAGGAGCAGAAACAGAATGCACACGGCTATCCAATCATGATGAACCATGCAGAAGGAACTTGCAACAAATACTACAGAAAACCAGAGAGGTTTTCTAAGTAAACGTGGAATATTAGGAGACACATTCCAACAGGTCAGCCGTCCTCCCTCACTGCCTCCAGCACCACCACGCCTCCTCCTGCAGTACCTAGTGCTTCTGTAACACTGTGTGCCGGTATTTCATACAGAAGTGCTTTATACAGATTCTGAGCAGAACAGTACATTCAAAACATGAGGCGGTGTTTTATCAGAATTCCCAGGGGTCTGACCACCTCAAGTTCTGCCTCTCCATATGAAGTCCCTTATCCTAATCAAGTCGACAATGTAGAACAGATTGCCCGTAGGTGGGGGAAACGATCGGATGAAAAGAATATTTTATTACATGTACCTCTAAACCAAACTAATTCAAATATATAGCACTACCCCCCACATTTGCTACTACAAAACTGGAAAATGTTCCAAACTCTTCTACCTAAACCAAGTAGCACCAATGTTGCTGAACACGTAACATTCACCATTATCAAAACATTTGTCAACAAAACAAGAGTCTGTTAAACAGGACAGCCGATTCATTTCTGAAGCTTTATATGAGCAGGAGAGAGAGAGAGAGAGAGAGAGAGAGAGAGAGAGAGAGAGAGAGAGATGGCACTGATGTCACGAAACTAAAAGCTAAAGCAATTAAAACACACTGAAAAGGCGGGGGGCATGATAGAAAGCATTTAGAGGGATCAGCTTAGAACCAACCTTTTTTCACTGGGTGGTACAAATCCGGCTGAGAATCTATAGCAGAAGGAAAAAAACAAGAACAAAAACAAAAACAAAAAATAGCAGAGAAAGGAGATTAAGAGGGGAGAAAAGAAAAAGGCTTGTCGTGCAATTTTTGTTTTGGATCCTGGGCTACATTCAGGTTAGAAATTAAAAACAAGTTTCTCTTACCCCAACATATGACCACCAGAAAGCAAGGAAAAGGCATTTCTAGTAAGCTTGTAGCAAGTAATGAGGTTAAGCTCTGAGCTAAGGGCCCAGTGACTTGAAAAGAACCAGGAATTGAAAGGAACTGGGAATTAATTCATAGTCAGGCTTAAAAACAACCCATGGGAGAGAGCAGGTCTACAAATATTCACAAAGTAAATGAAACCTAAATTCAAACAAGCAATTAAGAATTGGTAGCATCTCCGTGTGACATTGAAAGCAACGAAAACCACTTAGTCTACTTATTCTTACATCACAAGAAAATATGGTACCTAGTACAATATTGAGGGCAAGTGCATTTATTATTCTGAATACCACAGAAAGGCATGGATTTAATTTGGGACAGATATAGCAGCATGCTCTGCAACAGCCCTCCCCAACCTGGTACCTTCCAGGTTTTTTTGGAACAACTCTAACATTCCTGATCACTGGCTATGCTGGCTGGGGATGCTGGGAGCTCAAGTCCAAAACATCTGAATTGAACCACGCTGGAGAAGGTCATGCTATACTTATGTGCTCACAGTACCACATACCTTCATTTTCTGATGAGGCTGGGAAAGTTTTCACCTGGAATGGACGGAAAGGTTTACCATCAAAGAGTGGAGATTCATCACTTTCTTCAGAACTCACACGGACGTCCACTTGGGATTCTGAGATAGAAGAAGTAAACTGGTCCATGTCAGCCCGCTGTTCTTGGAGCAGCTCATCTGTAAGAAGAGAGTCAGGATGACAATCTTTGATAGACAAAACAATCATTTTGTGGCAACCTAAGGATGCATGGCATGGCGACTTGCATTGCAAATAAGCTACATGGAGTGGATTGATTAGGCTTGCTCTTCCTCGCTTTTCCCCACCCTCAGGTCCTCCAGCCCATATCCTAGGGCCTGGTGCAGCAGAACGCAACTTGCCTCTCCCTCACCATGCCAACCCCAACCTTTCTGCTTGCATTTTTCTTCTTGCAGCCCCATGCGACTGTCGGTGACAGCTGCTCCACCAATGCCCAAACAGCACTGCGGAACAACCATCTCTGCTTTCTCAGCCACTTTTCTTTTTCCTGCAGGAAGTGTGTTTGTGTGTGGCATACATGAGCACAAGTTTGTTTTTTAAAACATTTGGTCCTTTGTAGGTACACACCTATGGCTGCGCTGCCTGAAACGTGGGGTTGTTCTCATGCAGTGTCCTAGAAAGTCTATGATGTCAAAGTGCAGGCGGCAACATGCATGGACTGATCAAGTGAGACTTTGCACACACTTGAAAAGCAAAGTAGCAAAGGCTTTTTTCCCCCTTGGAAGGGGGTGCCAGGTATGTAGCCACTACTGGCATGGCGTATGGGTGCTCTGACTGCTCAGTAATAATATTCAAGTTGTCTTCAGCCAACCTGTGTCTTCAGAGCATAGATACTAACCAATCTCATTCTGGATTTCTTCAGCCACATAAGGTACTTTGTAGAGCAGGGACAGGCTTTGATTCATCCTCTCCTCTATTACACGAAGATGGGTCATCACCTACCGATGGAGAATTCACGTAATTAGCAGATCAGTACAATTTTTAGCTTTAAAACTTGAGGAATTATTAAGATTGTTTGCACTTGCATTACTGTTGCTTTACATGAAAGGATACAATAAAACCACATAAATTGGAACCCTTAAGAGAACTGGGAAGAACAGAAATGCTCTAGCATCTTAGGCTGCGATCCATCTATCTAAGTAGTAGCTCCTGGAACAGCCACTTCTGCAATGCTTCCTGGAGCTGTTAAGTATGGGAGTAAAGAAACTGGCCTTTCTTTGTTCCAAGCATCTCTTACCCACTGAAGTTCCTTTTTAATTAACGTGATCCATAAGGTTAGGCATGTTCATGGTCTGGCTTTAAAGCACATTGGCTACTGGCATCACCACATCTGAAAGAAGGTACAACTGCAAACAGGTGAAAGACTTTGCTCCTTCTGACAGGGGGTAGGACTAGTGACCCTCAAGGCGCCTCGCAGTTCAAACTTCTATGTGGATGGCATTGCTTGCCAGGGGGATACTTGCAATGTGATGCTTTGTTCACATGATAACTTTCGTTGCAAAGACCGCGTGTATCTAATTCCAGTGAACAGGCAGATCTGAGCGGCAGGTCCGTCACTCTGCCATATTCAAGGGAGTGGTGAAGCTGGAACTAGCCACAGCATCAGACACTTTCTTATAGACACACATTATCTAAATAACACATAATTTCTGAAAATTTTGAAGCCTGAGTAAGCACTGAAAGGCTTTAACAAAACATGTTACACTAAAATGATTGCTGCTAATTGAATCCCTTCTCAAGTGTGGAAGACTGAAAACTCCATTCTGGAGAAATTAGAGTCCACAAGGACTGACTTTTCACACTGTATGATATTATTTAGTCAATGCAGTACTCCTTTTACCTACTTTTACTAAAATATTCAACATAGGATCTTGGTTGCATATTATCCTCTCAAAAGAGGATAATATGTCCGCTCAAGTAGTAAAAGAAGTATTTTTAAATTTGCATCTACAGCTGCAGATCCAAGGACTACTTATTCTGCTACTACAACTGGCATCATTTTCTAACCACATAATAACTTACCTAATCAACATATTTTTTTCCCAAAAGGAACATGTAGCTTTAAAATGTTTTTTCAAAGCAGACACACTAAATTCTTATTATGTGGAAAATAATATTGGTCTTCATGCAGCGATTTGTCTGGACATAAGAGCAAGGTGTGGTTTCCTGCTACACAAACCAGGTTCCTGTTTTTGTAGGCAACAACTGTTCTGCTGTTGGGGCTGGCTTCTTAAATTTATGGCTACTGTGTGTTTGACCTGTAGAGGGTGCTGCACTTTAACAGATTATATGGACTTGATAAGGAATATATTAATCTGGATGACCAAACTGGTAGAACACCCATGAACTCAAGGGACCTGCTTTGATCATCTGACATATATTTGCCTTAAAAGATGAAAGCAATTAATTATTCTGTGTGGCAGCCTGTTAATCTAATACCAGGGTAAGCAAAAATATTTTGGCCTACAGCTCGCATCAGGCCTAGCCTGCATAGTTAACATTGAGGGATTTGGGGAACTGTAGGCCAAAACATCTGGAGAGCCAAAAGCTATCTCCACAGTCAAATTAAAGCCAAAATATAAAAGAGAATTGAATGGTATCATGAATATTTCTTGAAGCCAACTGGTCAACAGTGCAGCCTATACTAAGAATTACAGCACCTTTAAGATTTTATGGTTTAAGCATCCACCCACTTTTGCTTTTTGCTGAGGTTCATCCTTCAGTTCTGCAACTAAAGCAGACAGGCAACATAATTCAATGGGAAGTAACTACTTAGACCCTTTAGCAGTCTTGTGAAAGCAAAGACATATACACGCACATGTGCTACATAGAAGTAAGACAAAATGTAGCTACAGCAGTGACCTTGTGTGGCCTTGGTAAAGGCCTTTCCATGCACCCCATTTTTTAAATTTCTGTCCTCTTAGTTATGGATAAGACAACCAGAGTTGTAAAACAAGTTTCACAAAAGTGCCCAGAAAGACAATATAGTGCATTAGCAAGTGAGACGAACATTTTGTTTTGTTTTGTTAATAGCCACATGGAGCAGTTCTTAGCGATGAAGCCTCAGATAAGTGAAATGCTAGCACGCCCTCCCTCAAGCTAGGATAACCCTAAGACGAATGATGGATGAGTTGTGACAGGTACCAAAATCAGCAAGAACAAAAGGACACTTTCTAATTCCAAGGAACAGGCTGCAATCAACAAACCAACAGGACAAAGGCACACAGTCAAAATATAAATGCCACAAACTGGCACTGTACCAAAAGTATATGAACTCGGTTAAAAAAAAGTGATCACAAAGGTTCCAGCTGCTGCCCAAAGGAATTCCACAAGACACAACACTGGTTAGTGTGAGCGAGCCCAAGCACTGGTTGCCCAAAACGGGTTGCTGTGCTGTGCAAACCTGGCCACCACGCAGCTTCTTTGCAGAGCAGGTTAGTGTGATGTGCAAATGCAGCCATTGAAACATCAGCAGCATCTTGCATTTATATCCCAAGGTGGCTTGAATAGCTCCATTTTATCCTCATGGCAACAACCATATGAGGTGGATTAGGTTGAGCGAGTGACTGGCCCACAGTGGCCCAGTGAGCTTCATGGCTGAATGGGGACTAGACACTCCAGCCACCACCCCAGAAACCATAATTACTATTCACTACGTTTTGTCAGGATTAGACAAAAAGGGCAATTGTAGCTGATCAAGAAATGTAACAAAACCTTCCAATCTCCTTGTAAGGGTGACTGAAGAGAGGAAAGCGGGAAGCATGTGATCTCAAGTCTTGTTGCAACATTTCCGGGCATAATATCTTGAGCTAGCTTCACAGTTGAGCATAAGAGTAGAAGTGGAGACAAACTGCAAGTCACAGCATTTGGCAATGATGCATCCAATAGTGGAAGAGAACTGGATGCTGCTCTTCAGTGCACAAATGCAACACGGTTAAATGTTTCAGATATCCTCTTCAATTCTGCATTCAGCAGGGATAGATCCTAGGAGCCTAGGAATGGCTATGGGTATTAGATAAAATGCTTCCTAGGAATCTTCTATACCTGTGATTTCATCTGTGCAGCCTTTTCTGGGTCAACAGCCAAAACATGCTGATAATGGCGGATCGTGTGCAAACGGTCTTTGTTCTCAGCACGGACATAACGCTTCAAAGCTTGGAGGATACGGTGGGGCTGCAGAAATTAGAGAAAACTGGTGAGCCAGATAGAGAATGGAAACATTTCCAATTATATCAGCAGGATACATTATGATCCCATATAATTTACCTACAGAGTAAGTCAAAGGACTCTGATTCTAATTCCTCAAATAACATGGCTTCACAGTGGGCATGAAATATATGAGCTGCTGCAATACTATAAGGTAAGAAGTAAGAGCTAAGCCAAGAAGACATATATGGGCAGAATTCACATTTATAGTAAAAGCCAGCAGTTATTATACTAATGTGGTGCACCAACCCACTGTATTAGCAATGCACACAAACTGACTGCCTTCACAGCATCTCTACTGGTGCTTGTCTTTCTCCAGAGGTCTTCTCTCACCAGCTGCCAATGCTTGCTCCTCTCCCAGACCTAATGACAGCTCTACTATAGTAATGCATTTGAAACATTCCAGGAGAACATACCCGCGGAGGATCAGTCTGCAGAGCAACTAGATAATTTTCTAGGGCAATGCGACGGCGGTCATCGAGCATGGCTTCTACGCGAGCTAGATGAGTCTCCACAAGCTGTTGCTTCTCACTGGCTGCTTCTTTCTCCAGTGATTTAGCCATTGCCTGGAATCTCTGCAGAAGCAAGATACTGTTATAATCTTTGTTAACTGGTGGCAAAGAGCTGAATTAATGCTATCCAGTTGGCTACTGCAAGATACATTGATCAGTTAGTAGCTGCAAAATGTGAGAAGATAGCTTTTGCTTCTTTACACCCGGAGTATGATTCTCCGCCATAAGCAGAAACCTGATTTCTTATTGTGATAGAAAGCAATCTGAAGACAGCAATGGGGAAAACACTATTTAGGATTGGTTTATTTGTACCAATTCTCTTCCAAAGTTCTTCAGCTGGCATGAATCCACTTCTAAGGCAGCAGTACTGAAAAGACACTTGAGCCTATACTCTCAAAAGAAACATCACTTCTTTAGCAGAAGAATAGTTTTTCACCCTGATGGCTTTCCACTAGCTTTGCACAAACAGAAACTTTGCATCTTCAAACAAACCACATCTGAGCAGTCTCAAATGAAGACACCATGGCTGGATTCTGTTTTGGCAAGGCTACTGACATTCTGAGGACTTGCTTTTATCTTGTCTTATTAGTTAGAGGAAAAGTGCATTGTGAGACTCACCAATCCAAAGGACGGAAGAAGGCCCCCCATAAAAGAAGACATGCCCAAACCAGCAACTAGCCAGTGGAGACATTTAGCTGGGCAGTCCCATTCTGAGTTAGACAGATTATTATAGCAAGAATCCATATGTTCCGAAATCATAAGAATAGTATCTTCAAGCTCCAAGAACAAATAGTTCCCCTTTCTCAAGAGATGCACTGGTTTACCTGCATGAGAGTTTGTCTCTCTGCCTTCGGGAGATTCTTGGCTTGATGTTCTGCTTCTTCCCATTCCTTTTTAACCTAAAGAGTTCAGAAAGAGTTTTAAAAACGGTCCATCCAGTCATATATGATGGATTCCAAACTAGGAGAGCAACTTAATTTTGGATATTTAATACCATGCTATTCAGTATAACTCCAAGAGCATCTCTCACTATGATATTATAAAACAACAACTTGCCAGTGACTTTAGGGAGAGCTAGAGAAAAACCCTACAATGAGCAGAAGTTCTAATTTAATTAAACTTACAGAGTACAAGCTTACACTGTCCAGAAGATAAGATTAAACTTTAAAAAGAGGTTCTTGACAAAACTGAAACGTAACACCTGGCATCAATGGCAACAAGAAAGCTGGTTAGCTACAACAAAGCTGCTAAACTGAGTAAGATGAACAAGATTAGCAACACTGCAGTTCAGAGGAAACTTACTCGGTCCATGCGGTTGTGGTGTCGAACCTCTAGTTGTTCTTTTGCTTTCTGGAAGCGGGCATGTTCATTGTCATCAGCTGGTGTTTCAAAGTAGACATCCACTTCATCAGTAGGTGCAGGGGTGGGAGGAACTGGGAAAACAATAAAATAAGGGACTCAGTGTGTCAATGGCCCTAGATTAGGTAGCTGCTGCCACGAATAAAGGTTCCAGGGAAGGGAAAATGTTTTGCCAATTGATCTTCTCAAAAGAAATACATAATCTAACTGTCCATTCCAGGATTCCATTTTGGCTTCTATCAATAGCCAATTTTCTGCAGCACCTTAAACCACACTATTACAAGCCAGGTAATATATTGGGGTGTCTCTAAATATTTCCCAGTTCTTGACATGAAGCACATACAACACAGGATCAGTAACTAAAGCCATTGTTAAGATTGCTGCTTTCCCCTCTCCCAAGGTTTTTTCCTGTAATACAAAACTGTGTACATTTGCTGATAAATGTAGCTACATCCAAATAGTAATGAAACACCCAGATTTGTTTGGCAGTTCAATCCCAAAGAGAGATTACACCCTTCAAGCTTCATTTGCCTCCATCAGCCTTACCAGGTGATAGGCTAACAAAAAACAGGTATGCAACACATCAAAGACAGCAAGACAAGTCACAACTGGAGGGCTAGTAGGGCAGAAGCCCTAACATTTTAAAAACGGGGGGAAAAAACATGAAAGGTACCATATTTGTGCCATTGTAAAGCTGGCCAAATTCACACTAGTTGTTCCTTCAGTGAAAAGTCAGTATGCCTTTGAACAAGATTTCCTGAACCACTGTGAAATACTGAGCAATTAGCATCAAAAACCAAGAACCACTAAACTGGAACCAAGGTATCTAAAGGCTTGCCATACAACCCTGCTTCCGTGACCACAGAAAGAATTCTAACTTGGTACTTGAACCCACAGCTCTTTTACTCCAACACAGAAAAGAGGTATTAAGTAAAACAGTGGTAAGGCAGCACATAGTGCCCATGCAAAAGGACATTATTTCTTCATAAGTGGGAGCCAAAACTAGATGTGTTTTATCCTGTTTACTATTTTTGAGACAGGCTTTGATACAGGCCCCCAATTTCCATCCCCAAAGCCTTCTGGAATGGGACAAACCTTTGTCCTGAAAGCCCCTGGCATCTGCATCTTTTATTCCACCACTTCAATCAGATCAACCCTTCAAAAGCATTTGCCTGGAATCCATTTTGTAAACGGGATTATTGCTGTATACACTGACTGCCAAGCCCTAAGAAGCACAAAAAGTCTTTCAAAAAGGTCCCTGCAACAGCCAAAATGGAAGTGCTGGAATTCAACAATAGGTTAATTTTTGTGGGAGGTTGTATTGCAAGAGCTAATATAAATGGTGGCAAAGGCCTCAAGCAATCAGAGTCATCAGGCTGTGCCCGTATTTCTAATGGTGCAGAAAATGAAGCAGACTCTTACTTGGACAAAAAATAAAAAAGAACACTAGCAAAAATCTCTACCAGTTGTTCTCTAAGATGAAGAAGTTGGTTGAAGCATGAGAAAGGCAGCAAGAAAAGAGGCCAAATAAGGTGAATCAGGATCACAGGTTAACCATTCCCTGGAAGAGGATTTACTGAGCCTTAACCTTGTAAGGGCAGGATGTGTTTAGAGTGGCAGACGAGTATGTGAGGGAAAGCTAGTCTTCCCTGCCTGCAGAAATGTAGGCTGGGCATAAAACCTAAAGCAGCACAGAGACAGGGAGAGATTACTGCAGGACAGACACCACTTCAGCAGACACCAGAATCCATAGGACAAGGCTACACACAGCTCTTTCCTTGACCTGGTCAAGGAAGAGGAGACAGACAGGACAACAGCTTGCTGCAAGAGGGCCAGTGGGAGGCAGGACTTACTCATCTTTTTACACACAGCCATACAATATTCCTCTGACTCAAAATTGTTCCTGTTGCCTCCGCAGCCTCCATATATAAAGCGAATGCACTTTTTCTTGTACATGTCGAAGTACCAACGAGGCATCACAGCCCGGCAGGGACCTGTCATCGCCTCCTGGGAGCAGACAGCTGTGTGGGAGATGGTTAAAGCATCAGCTGGTGACAAGCACAGCTTTGCTAAGCTAATTCAACAGCAATGATGGCTCTAGGTCAGTCTTAGCTGAAACATTGACATTTGCCTGGGGCACTGCAGATCTATCATCCACAAACTTCCATTTTTCCCACCACTCAAAAAAAATATAAAAACTTTGCTTGGGGCCAAAGGTAGCATCAGGGGCAGCAGAGGTATCTCACTCAACTTGACCTGCTCTACTTCCACCAAGAGTAGGAGGGGAAAGGTGGGCCAGATGACACCATGCAAGCTCCCATCCAGTCAGTCCATGCATAAAACTTTCTCTCAGGCAGGTTAGGCAAAAAGGCAGGCTGTGTGGCAAGAAATAGATTCTTGCTGATTCAAAAAGAGGTGGCATTGGTGCAAGGGGTGCCCCTTAATTGCCCAGTTCCTTGAACCCAGGCATTCCACTTTCTAAACCATTGGTAGCTGTCTGCTATCAATGTTTCTCAGCAGCTGCTTCTTTAAAACCATGCAAATTATGGAAGCTGAGAACTGATGACATTCCTAAGCCACTAATACCATTTTAAGAACATGAAATAGACATATTGTTGTGACAACTTAGTTTTGTCCTGACTGGGGTGGGGAGCATATCTATCTTACCCAAGTGATGAAGAAACAATGTAAGAGAATCACATGAGCTCGGTGTCCTCTCACTGACTGTGTTGTACAGGTAGAACAGACCATCAGCACAGCAGGAAGCTAGCACTTCCTACCGCAAGCCCAGAAATGAGCTGAAATGCTTGTTTTCAGGAAAGGATAGGTTAGCAGAGCTCTCTTCCATAAGTTCCGTTGATCTAGTTCCAGAAACAAGTATTCTTTCACTCATTTCAGGGGTTGCTCTGAGACGCGTTCACTTCCAGTTGTGCTGATGGTGGGTCCCAACAGTGCATGAGCAGTACTGGATACTGTAGCAGATACAACAGCCGCAAGCTGGCATGTGCCCCACCTCTAACAGGAGGAGCGCTTACATCCATATTTGCCCAGTCGCCCCCTGAGATCGGCGGGAGAGGCCCTTCTCCGGGAGCCCTCCGTGAGAGAAATTAGGAGGGTGGCTACTCGGAGAAGGGCTTTCTCAGCGGTGGCGCCTAAGTTATGGAATGCGCTCCCCAGAGAGGTCCGCCTGGCGCCGTCGTTATTTGTTTTTCGGCGCCAGGCTAAGACCTTTTTATTTAAGCAACATTTTAAATGCTAAATACAATTGAATTTTATCTGGCCAGGGCGGCTTATTTTATAATGTGTGTTTTAATTAAGATTATTTTATATGGATTTTAACTTGTTTTATCTATGTTGTAAGCCACCCCGAGGCTTCGGCGAATGGGGCGGCATAAAAATGTTTTAATAAATAAATAAACAAACATCTGGAGGCAAAGGGATAGCGGCAGAGTAAAACAGTTGTGGATGTCTTGTTCATGACAAAGACACTCAACTCTAGTTCCTACTATGGTGGAAGACCCATGCGCCGCTCCTATTTGGTCTGCATAGCAATCATCTGACAGTGTTTCTTCATTCAAAACACCCAGAAACAAGGATGTCAGGCAGAAGCAGACCAGTCATGGGAGCCCCTGCATGCAGTATGGAAAGGGTATTGAACTCTAGTAAGAACTGCAATTCTGTGTTTCATAAAGCACGGTCTGCAGCAGCCCTGGGATCACTGAAAAGGAATTAGTCTACAAATTCCAACTGCTGTGAAGCCGGTGACCTCCTGGCACCAGGAGAGGGTGAGGAGGGAGCAGTGGGGAGAACTAATATCTGAAAGCCAAGCAAGATGGCGGGGGCATGTGTGTGTGAGTGTGTAGGAGTAGAACATGACACACTGTGTATGTTTGCAGAAGCTTGGGGAACACACCCAATGTTGCTAACAGGACCTGGGGCGGTAAGCAGAAGATCAGTACATTTCAGAGGGAAGGTTGAACCTGAGCATTTCTTTCAAGCTCTGAAGCAGCAGTATGGATAGCATTCGGTACTCCAATGTATTTGAATGGAAATTTGGAAACAGGTTTGACTGATTGTTGGTCAGCAGGCATCGTATGTCTCAGACTCAAGTGCGGGGAGAAATTGCCTGCAATGAGTGACACAGAAGTACTTCTCCACTGTCCCTCTGGCAATTAACATATTCAAAAGAGAGAGCTGCTGAACTGGAAATGGAACATTCAACATATGGATTGCCAGGATCAATAGACAGCTGCGGGAAGAGACAGAAACGGAAACGCTGCAGTGCAGCCTGCTTACCTTTCACATCGCTCATTATTTCCTTTTCAGAGAGAGACTTTTCATTGCTTGGTTCAGTCGGGGGCTCCTCATCGTAATCTTTATAGCCATCATAATAGTAATCCCGATCCACCACCACTTCTTCTTCGTTTTCCTCTTGCTCTTCATCCTCATCCCCATCCATCTCCACAACTGCTGCTGTGATCTCCTCTGTATCTGCCTCAGTAGGCAGCTCACTGGAAGGCATGCAAGCAAACGGGTGATACAACAATCCCAAGCTGGCCTGTGCCCACTTTCGCCGCCCACCCTTGCAGGCAGCGCTTGAAGGGAACGGGCAAAAACTTCTTACAACTATGGCTCTTATGGCAAGCAGTGGCTTTTTGGATGCCTACTTTCAAAATGGGCTTTTATTTTATGAATTGGATCTCTATGTTATAGATTTTTAGCAATATGTATATGCATCATAGATACTACAGCGCTAACACAAACTCGAGGGCCTTCATGGCCCCTTCCAACTCTGCTATTCTATGAAAAACAACACTTGATCGTGCCAAATAGAAAAGGGTTGCAGGAAAAGTTCGTCCTTTTGAACAGGGTGAGAAAACAGGAGACAAAAGACCATGGAGTTATAAAACATTGAACTCAGTAGTAATAGTATTAATAATAATAAAAAAGTCTTTGGGTATGCATAAGACAAATACACCAAATACTGCACACAAGCTAAGAATCATAACAATGTAACATTTAACCATGAAAGAGTTCTACCCTAAATAAAACCTAAAAATAATTACAAATGAATACACTAAACAAAATAGTTCCACTTTACAGCCCTTGATATGGAATCAACATCTTCAGTAATTCTCCAATTCTTCCCTGCACCAAACTCAGTGTTTATCAGAAAATACTTCTAACAGAACATGGATAATGAAAACTAAATATTACCTTTTGTAACTGTCATAGTCTTCATCTTCCTCCTCCTCCTCCTCTTCCTCCTCCTCCTCTTCAGAAAGTGCTTCATCAACAATTTTGGCTTGAGGGCAGCACACATATTCAGTGCCATGGAACTGGTCTACTCCACAAGGAAGCAACATGCCATAACTATGCAGAATTACCCCTTCAGTCAAACAGGCCTACACAGGAGGAATTAAAGCAAGATTAAAATGGCATCCATAGACCGCTGACATCAAACATTTAATGGCTGCTTTATACATCGTCTAGTTCGGTGTAAGCTGAAGATGGCCACAGTGGAACAGTCTGCCAAAAATGCAAACTGTTTTAAAGAAGCAATCAGTGAAAGATGCTTCATGCTAGGACCTAACAGTGACCGAGGAAGCCGAACTCTGCAGTCATACATCTTGCTGTTGTTCACTGTGATACATTTTTCAGCTGGGCTGAGTCCTAGAATGTCAATAAACTTCGTTCAAGGTTTAATATGCACATTTTAAATGAAACCAAATTATGCAATTCAGAATAGATCTACGTATGGAGAACATGTAATAGCTGTGTGTTTAAAATCAAGGGAGTGAAGTGATGAGCCTTCCTAGCATGCAAGCTGTGAGCATGTAAAACGATTCTCACATAAAGATTTCAAAGTTTTAATAGTTCAGTCTTCCACAAATTTGGATAAAAGTATCTCGTGTTCCAAGTCTAGCACGTGTCCCCCTGAATAATTCTTTCATGGCCAAGGAGCCCCTGATGGAGCAGAACTGCACTGTTAGTACAGGCGTAACATACTTAGATGGAACTGGCACAAGCAGGGAGTTCTCAAACTGGCTAACCTAATGAAACCACAATTTTTAGTTATGAAATTATGATGGGTTGTTGTTTTAGTTAGTAAATCAGACTGAACACTGATTTAGGACCATGATTTCAGCTGCTTTGTTTTGATGGCTCAATAATGCTTAAGTTCGGTACCAGGAAGCTTGTCTTTCAGATTTGGCGGAAGTGCACCCCAGAAAAACATTTCAAATTCTGTCATGGTTGCCATTTTGTCATCTGTTTTCTCCTGCTTCCACTTACCTCTTTTGCTACACTATGCCAGTACTGGTGACTTTTACACACATCCATCCGCTCCCTGTGAAAGAATCTGCACTTTTCTGGAACCAAGAGAACATCACTGACAAATTCGCCCACTGGAAAAGAAAACAAGAATTGTACAATATGATTTTGCAGTTGACCCACATGTCAAAAGCTTTATTTTCTGCGTCAGGACATTTTTATAATTTTGCACCTCAGAGAACTAGTACTTGTTCCTGTGCTCATACAACCAATAAACATACCAAAACCGTTTGTTGAAATGTTTCTATGTTTTGGGCTATTCAGCTCTAAATATTCTATTTTTGATCTGGGGCCTCAACATTTTAAGTTAACTTTTGAAAGAAGGCAAGAAATATACTATCTAAACATGTTTTCAAGGTGACCAATGTCTGAAATAATTTCCCCTAAAAACAAAGATGACTATACTTACCCAAGAGAAAAAAAATAATCCCATGCCCAAAGCTTTGTTAGGACCAGCCAAAATGCCACAAGTATGTGTGCAAAGCTTATACACTTTTAAGTGACATTTTGGTTGCCCCACTGTGATTTTTTCAAAAATAAACCTTTCCTAGAATACAGAACATCATAAGAAAGTTTAGCAATTCATCTGAAGGAGCTTATGACCAAATATCTCATTTTGTAACAAAATAGTAATAAATGATGCCTAGTATGCCTCTAATTTTACAGTTTCCCTAGTCTACATTTCTGTAGTACAGTGATACATTTTACAGGTACAGATAGAATGAGAACAGGAAGTGTTTTGACAGAAAGAAAACTATACCTTTACAGGGAGAATCACCTGCTTACAATAGTCTTATACTTCTGAAAGTATTTTAAAAGTCTATTCCTTATGCATATTAGAGATGGGTGATCCTGTAAATTATAGGGCTCTTTCTCATTTTTCCCAGTCTTCAGTTCAGTCCTCAGTTCCATTTCTGCTACAGCTGGCATTTTTTCAAATTCCATGTGAAAATTCAAATATATTTGGTGCATATTCCTCCCAAAGTAGGTTTCCTCTAAAGTAAATATTCTGTACATTTTTCACTAATATATACACTGCTGTGGACATGTTTCCCTGAATGCATTTCATTCACTGGAGGTTTGTATAACAAAAACTTGATACATACAATTATCAAAGTATAGCAATTTTTCAGTTTATATACTGGTTAAGGCTATAATGCTTATTTATTCTGTAGAGAATTTCAGACCACCTCTCAATTTGAGTTCACTCTACTAAAGCTGGATCTCAAGTTCTCTTGTGTTGTCAAACTAAGTTAAACCAGAAACATTTGCATTATTTATGAAATGGCAGGAAAACTCTTTCCATATAGCCATATAAAGAGGGAAACTGGTTTTTTTTTTATGGTGTGCTCCCCTAGAAAGCCATTGTGTGTGTGTGTGTGTGTGTGTGTGTGTGCATGTGTGTGTGTGTGTGTGTGTGTGTGCGCGCGCGTGTGAGTCAGTATGGACCTAGTTCCCATGCCTCCAGTCCTGCTTTGAACTGCAAAAAATACTTCTTCCTCTCAGGTGCCATCTTCTTCCACTTGACAAAGAGAGAGTCCACACTATGAATAATGCACGGCATTTTACTTATTTTCACCTTTTAAGCATGTTTTACAACCTGGGCCATAACTTAAATCTTTAACATGCTAAAAAATTAAACACATGCACACATTTGAGTGGAAAAATGTGGGAGGGGGGAGCTGGTAAAGATTTTGTTGGGGGTTTTTCCTTTAATTTTGGTTTTTGTCACACTTCTTAGAGTCTCAGACAACTCAGAAGCTCCACAGCACAGCATCCCTTAGATCTTTTCTAATCTGCCATCAGCATAAACAAAGCATTAAAATCTTAGACCTCAGAATCACTATGTAGGTGAGCACAGATTTCTTCAGCTAGCTTTTCTTTTGTGTAGTATTACAGCTGATGAGCTTTGTTTCACAGAGCTTCCTGGAGAGGTAAACCTATATAATGGGCTGAGTAATCCACTGTGTAATATATACCATCCATTCTGAAATGAAGAAAAGGAAATGTTCTGGTGTGTTACAGTACTGATGAACAGGATCTGCTGTGTTACATCCTCTGTCACAATGGTGAAGATGCTTAAATCGACCCAGGGCACAAGTCTATACATGTTTAGGCAGAAATAAGTCCTGCAATGATCAGCAAGTCCCAGTAAACTATATTATCTAGTGGATGCTGGGAGTTGTAGGATTTATTTTTGCCTAATTATGCATAAGATTGTCTCCAGGAGGTGTTACTCAAGACTGTGTTTGTAAATCCTACAAAAACAATTGATTGTTACCTTGTCTCAACCTTCATGCAACCACTTTTCAATGTGTTTAAAGAAACCACTAGTGTACAACACAAGCTTCTAAAGAGTAAGTAATTCCTTCTGAATACTCCAGTCACAGGCATGGATACTGTGCGGACTTTAAGAATTTGAGCAAGGCAAGATTTAGACTGTCTATGCCTGAGAAGCTCCAAATAGAGATAAGTAAGGGTTGCACTGTAAACAAGTGATCATCATTTACCTTGGCAGAGATACTCTAAGCGTCTAGTGTAAGCTTTAGATGTTAAGCTTTCAACAGCAGCCAGCTACAACTATCATGAATCGAAACTGGAGACACCTTGCCAATATTAGAACTAAAAATATCTGTATGAGGTTCACAATTCCAAATCAAGATTAGCCCTTAGCTGTTCCCCAGAAAAGGACTCATAACACACTGATATAAAAACAGCTAATTCCAGATAAAAAAAGGTTCTTTTACCACACAGACGGCACCTTTCTCAGATTGCTGTGAACAATCAATACAGTGCACCACAATGCATCAAAGTTTCTGGTTCATCTCATGACGAAGAGTCAGCTACACAAAAATCCAGTTAAATCAATGACAGACATCGATGTCAATCCTAGTGGATTAATTTGTCAGTGAAGCCAACCAAAATAAAACCAGGGAAAGTATTCTACATATTTGCTAGATAGATATTTGCAAATTATAGGTCAATATGCATCACCAATGCTGGCATGAAGATCGGATATGCAAACGTTGGAGCGGAGAGCGGCACTAACAAACAGGAATAACAAAAGCTGTAACAGAAGCGAGGTATATGATCTGCAGCACCTACCAAGACATTTGAAAGGTACAACAATGTGAGTGTGGCCCTTGCACTGCTTCTTGCCTTCTTTACACCAGTTTTCGATGCTGACTTCTTGGTTAGCTTCCACCACATTTGTAATCCGAAGCTCTGGATAGATCTATTTTTAAAAATAAGACATGTATTAAATACACAAAGAATAGATAATAGTTTTGTCAAGAAAAAGGACCTTTAAAAAGAATTCGGTGAAGGACACAGAATGTGAAAAAAACCTCTTATCTAGTCAGAAGCTAAACAAACAATGGGGCAGTTCACAAATAACTCTAAAGCAGCATGGTATGAACAGTATGAACAAGCCTGATTGCTAATATGCTTCCCCCTCCCCCTCTAAACATTTTTACTTGAATTATTTCCGCTTTCGCAAACACAAAACTTACTGTCACATCCACACAGGTGAGCAACAGTTTCTGTGAATTATCAAACCAGGTTTTAATTCAGATGAGGTTTTACATGCAAAACAGTCCACTGGGTTGCGTTATCCCATAGGGATTGATATTTAAAAAGTAAAATCAAATATGATCTCCAACCTGAGAGCTTCCTACACAAAAGAGGCAATTTCTGAGACTGAAAGTGATTGATACGAGGCATTAGAATCATAGAACACTAGGAAGGCCAACCCCCCCCCCCACCCACTTAGTGCAGAACTAAGTTAAGCCATCCCTCTCAGATGGCTGTCCAATCAGGACTTGAAAGTTAGCAGAAAAATAAGTATTTGTACACTGACAGGCAAAGAAAAAGGAAGGGGGAAAACCCTCCCAGATTCACAATGGCCAGCATTGTGATGTTTCTACCTTTACCTTGAAGTTAAAAAAAAAAAAAAACCAGAACTGCAAATGGGATGCTATTTGTCACTTTCCTGTGTACTTGAGACTATTGCGAATTGTGCCAGGAAACGAGGCACATGGCAATGTAGATCTCAACAAATGTGTCACTGAAAATACACGCATTCCAAGTGTTCCAGAATAGCAAAACATAAAGATGCTGAAACTTTTCTGCTTTACTAACATTGAGCAATCAGAGGTACCATGGTTCCCGTGCTTTTAGGCTTTCATAACTAAGCCCAAAATAATTGTTCTTGACTTGAAGTTGATGACTCATGACAAGCTAAAACTTATCAGCATTTAAATGATGGTTGAAACTAGCGACAGAGTCTGAAGCTTACTTCCTGGCAGTACTGCAGAATTTCTTCTTTCCTTCCAAAGCAGCTTTTGGTCCCAGAAGGATCAGGCTCCCATTTTCCAGTCTGGATATTCACATGCATGTTCAGCTTTCCACAGAACATGGCAATCTGAGGTTCAGCCACAGCGAATCCTGTGCCAGCATTGGCAGCAAGTGCCTATGAGAAAAGAAACCTTGTTTTACATACAAGGAACTGCATGGAAATCCCACAGAATTTAGAAAATCCCGCAGAATTAGAACTGTAAAAGCATCTGTTACCAGGGGAGGGGGAGCTTTGCACTCCATTTAAAAAAACACCCCTCTTACATCATATACACACACACTCTTCCAGTCATTAAAGTCTTCCTCCCAACATGATACAGCATTAAAAATCAATGCAAACTTGTCATTGGTACTTATGAGCTACAGCTAGATTCTGATTTGAGTATTGACTTCCAGATCCCTACATGGAATACCTCAGCTGTTGGCTCAAAATGCACTCTAACCATCTGCATTAAAATCAAGCTAGAAGGCCATCCACAGGACCGAGTTTCCCAGACATCATTCTGCTACCCAATACACTGCACAATACTGGTAATTATTTACTCCAGCATTAAACTGTCCAGTCTACCTTTAAAGCATTGCTGCAATTCTAAATTAGATTTAAAGGCAAAGAACCTTTTTCCTATTGAGGGCTTATTAACTGCTCTGCCCTAGGAAAGTCATAGGCAGCAGCTACCAGATGAAATGACAGGTTTACATCCTGTCCACCAAGAACACTAGCGGCCTAGTTCTTCAGGCTATTCCAATCTTTTTGACCTAGAGTGCCCACTTGGTATAAGGTTGCCTGTTATCTCCAGCAATCTAAAAGAAACAAATGTTTCAAACACATACCCTCAATGAGAAGGTAAAAATGAATGAGTACATTTGAGTATACAGACAAGACAGTTTAAAACCAAACAATGTTAGTTCATCATCAGTGCCAGAAGGGATAAAACTGCAGAACTACTCCACAGGCCTGCTGCTCGGGATAACATCAACATGAGGGTTGCAGCTTTAGGTGATGAAATTATCTTCATTATGAGTGTTATCTATTTTCAATCTCCGCTGCAATTTTAAGCTTCCTCTAAGACTAATCTGAAGAGCAGCTGAAGAGAAAATGAACAGGGTTTAGCAAGGGGAACTATTTCATCTCCCAGACCCAGCACAGTGGTTTATAACTACTGCACAGGAAATATTGTAATTGACTCAAATATGTTCTTGTTCTAAAATGATACTATAGCATTCGGATGGTGCATTAGCAAACCTAGTATAACTGGAGAACATGCATCTAGCCATAGTTACACCGTATTGTTTGCACATTCCAAAAGTCAAGGTAATGACAAATAACTTCACATCCAAGAAAGTCACACCTTACTGAGTAAAGGCTTAGCTGGTACAGGCAAAGCCACAGCTTGGCATTCAGGCTGATCACCAAAAAACACAGAAGTTTGCACACTTTCAATGAACCAGGCAGTGATAAGACACCAGCTCAGCCAGTGACCCACTAAAGGATTTCTGTTTTGCTGCATCTTTCTCTGAGGCCCACTCCTCCCAGACTGCCCAAGACCTTTCCCAAACTAGGAAAAAATCCTCAAGGCCAGGACTCTCAAACATAATGTTCCAAGGAAATAAGCACAAATTGCCTTTAGGGGAGAAGGACAAGCACCAAAAACCTGAAAGGTACACACAGCAGTTATTTAACTTCTTTGTGACAAGATGCTTCTTCAGGCGCAACCTGACCAGTGTATTCCAAGGGATTTCTTAAATGGTTTCACACAATGATAAACAACTTGGCTTTACCTTGATGACCAGCCTATTATAACTGGACAGAAACATGCCCTATTCTCTATGCCCATCATTAAGGCACTTAAGCACAACTCACAGCAAAAGCCAACAGAATCTGATCCTGCTGGTGTTCTTGCTAGCAAGCCAGAGAATCTGTGACAGACCCTTTGTCCTCCCCACTTGCCCCAGTTGTGCATCTTTTCATTTGTGTTAAGCAGTACCAAGGGACAATTTCAACACTTTAACTCCAATGATTTTGGCTCCAAGGCAGTTTTTCATTAACTGGGAGCAGAAGATGTTGTCTCCTTCCTTTGATTCAAGGGCTGTGCTCATACGATACAACCCACCCAGAGGATGCAGTGCAGGCTGTAAGCACTACTGTTGGGTTTTTCTCTATTCTTTCTCCCTCAATCATCTCCCAAGGGGCTCCATGGCAAGACCTGCTCTTTTCCCTTTCCCTGCTCAGGCTGCAGCCCCTTTTGTGGTTACCACAGCTTCTCCCTTTTTTCCAAATCCGTTTTTTTGACCCTGGTATATGCAGCCATGAAATATGCATATCTCCCTGTTAAAAGCCCCACTTTAACTAGAAGCCATAAAAGAGATGGCTCACACTTTTCCACTGCCTTCATTTCCTAATGTCTTGCACAGGAATGGAAGAGGAGGACAGCACTGAGAACAGTCAGGCCCAAACAAACAATCTAGAGGATCTAACTGGAACGGCAATGATAAACACCCCCCACCACCACCTTTTTGTAGCAAAGACCACCCCACCCCACCCAGCTTTTCTTCAAGGTATGACGGCTGTCAAATGAGAAGCAAGGCTTGCTTTATCAATATCCATGGATGGTGCCTCCTGTACTTTGACAGGAGACACCTTCTGGAGCAATCATGGCTGCACATCTAGGATACTCAGAGCTGTGCAATTCTGACTATGGACTGTCCAAATAAATAAATAACAAGAATACAGCAGAAATCTCAACGTTTTTGCCACTCTTGTTGAGTGGCTCCCTATTTCCCTGCAGCTATGGTAAGATTAGTTGTCCAGGTTTGGATGAAGTGACAACCCTTCATGGGGTCAAGAACCACCAAAATAAGACACAGGTTGTCAGAATGACTTTTTGCCCAGGAAAAAGTCATCCCAGGTTCAGATGACACTCCAACCCACCATCATTAGTGACCCATGATGGGTTGCCTTGTTATGTGAACCAGTCTTTTTCATGTGTCCCATTTTTGATGTCTGAAACATCTACTGTTGTGCACTCTCTGTGGTCCAGTCTCTAGTTTACAGAATCCAGATACTATTAAAAGAATAAATGGATTCTAACCCATATATGGAAATGTAAAATAAAGATCCCTTTGGTTCCTTTGTGTAGTTTCTCTACTGAATGGAACCAATGTACAGCTAAAAACCATGCACTTAAAACATAACAGGCTGCATTTTTTTTCTCGTATGGCTTGGAAGCTTGAGCAAGCCTTTCTATCCCACATTTCTATATTCACATGCAGACTCTGAACAACATGGAAGTATTCAAATATCAAGGAAAGACAAGCACAGATGCATCTTGCTTGAACGCCATGCTAGCTCTGAAATTAAACATTTCAGAAAGAGAGGGTGCCAGCAGCAACAGGAGAAAGGGCGTGCCTGGAATGTTAACCTTAGTGTTCACATGTGGTATTGTGCAAAAATAGTCCTGGTCTTTGGATTATAACATGCAAAGGATTTTAAGGTCTGTTCTAAAGAGCCAACACGACAGCTTTGTTCCTTTGAAAGTACTAAAATGTAGAGCGAAACTGAGCAGAGGAAGTTGCAAGGTCAGTAGTGCTTACTGGAAATTCTTCCAAAATATATTCCGAAGTAACTTAAACCTTGTTCAAACATGTATCTTTGAACAGAGATGACAGTGTTTAAACATTAATGCTGAAGTGTTTATTTTTGTCATCTTTTCAACTGATCATTGCAGATACAAGGGAAATGTACCATTTCACTTCAGATTGTTCAAATAGTTTGCAGATCACTGGAGACAAGTTGCCATAGTGACATTTTAGTGAATAAGTGAAGTGAATAAGCCAACAGGCAATCGCCTTCAATGCAGTTTAGCTGCTCAGAAAAAGATCAGGTAGATCCATGAACCACAGAAAAGAAACACGAAATTAAGTGCTGGAGGTGCTTGCTGTTGTTATGTGCCGTCAAGTTGTCTCCAACTTATGGCAATGGTATGAATGAACGCACTCCAAACTGTTCTGTCCTTGACAGCCCTGCTCAGGTCTTGCGAACTCGAGCTGTAGCTCGAGTTGGTCTTCCTTTTCATCTTCTGCCCAACTTTATTGTCTTCTCTAGTGAGTCTTGCCTTCTTATGTAATATCCCCAAAATATGACAACTTAAGTTGTGTCATTTTAGCTTGACACTAACTTGATTTGAGCTAGAACCCCCTTGTTTATCTTTCCGTTAATCTAGCATATTTGGAAAGCTTCTCCCCAGCACCATGTTTCGATGTATGAATTTCCAGCTTTCACATTCATACATAGTGACTGGGAAAGCAACAGTATCGATCATCTTGGCCTTGGTTTGCAGTGAAACTTCATTTATACTTAATGATCTTTTCTAGTTCCTTCACTGTTACCCTTCCTAGTTTCAGCCTTCTAATTTCTTGGCCGCAGTCTCTGAGCTGATGACTGAGCCAAGCGTATGTAAAATGGGAAAATTCCATTTTTTCACGGTTGACGTTAAAATTGCATAATTCTTCTGTAACCACGATGTTTGATTTCTTGATGCTCAGCTGCAGTTCTGCTTTTGCGGTGTGTTCTTTCACTTTCATCTGGAGTTATTTCAATTCATTGCTGCTTTCTCTCAGTAATGTGGCATTATCTGCATATCATAAATTATTCACGCTTCTATCAATCTCAGAAGGATCAGATTCTAATCCAGCTTCCCTTATGATATACTCTGCATATAGATCGGACACTTAGTGAGGTAAAATGTACTCTTGTCTGATGCCTTTGCCTATGGGGAACCTTTCTTTTCCTCCATATTCTGTTCTGACAGTGACTTCTTGACCACATGCAGGTTATGCATAGGGATAATCAGGTGCTGAGGCCCACACATCTCTTTCAGGACCATCTACAGCTTCCCTACACTCAAAGGCTTTGCTGAAGTCCATAGAGCAAATTCTGCAGGAACATGGTTTAGGGTAGACAATAGTAATATGCCCCTGAAATCACTACGCACTATTTCTATGAGAAACACAGTTTAAAGAGAACTTCAGTTCAGTTCATTCACTCATGAGACAACAAAGGGGATTATCAAAGCAAATACCTGGTAACATCCTGCCACTGTAGCATAAGCACAGTAA